GCCCTCTCCCCCCCCCAACCCCTTGTTCACGCCTCCCTGTAGGGGGGGAACCCCCCCCTCCAAACAATACCCGCCTCCCCACTCGCCTTCCTGTCCTCCACGCCTCAAGCAAGGTTAGGGTTGTCTCTCTTCATAGTGTACTGTACTGTACTGTACTTTGTGTCATATTTTTGTGGTTTAAAAAAAATACATATGGTTCAGAACAGATTAACCGTATTTACATTAAACCTTATGGGAAAATTTGATTCGGTTGGCAACCAAAATTGGTTGGCGACCAAATTCGTAGGGGTCAGAACGGATTAACCGTATTTACATTGAACCTTATGGGAAAATTTGATTCGGTTGGCAACCAAAATTGGTTGGCGACCAAATTCGTAGGGGTCAGAACGGATTAACCGTATTTACATTGAACCTTATGGGAAAATTTGATTCGGTTGGCAACCAAAATTGGTTGGCGACCAAATTCGTAGGGGTCAGAACGGATTAACCGTATTTACATTGAACCTTATGGGAAAATTTGATTCGGGTCGCGACCAATTTGGGTCGCAACCAGAGTCGCGGAACGAATTAAGTTCATGACCTGAGGTACCACTGTATTTAGATTTCTAGACCATTACAAACATACCACTCTCAGCAATGTACAAGTATAATTTAATGTGTTATCTAAAAGATTATAAATATTCATGTCAAGATGCAAAAGACTTCATAAAACAAACCTTAGTACACTGGCCATTCAGCACTGATGTGGATGATAAGATTTTCATGGAGAGTGTGCTGCTCTAGTAGTGTCCCTCAAATTGTAATTCTAATATGTAACCCTAGAGTGGTTTTGTACCTGTCTAGTGAAATGGTTAAGGTATTCAACTGGGATGGCCAGATTCAAGTTCCCACTCAACTATGGAGTTCACGATTGACTGGTAAATTGCTTGCTCTTAGCCTAATTTATCTGACAGGGGAGTTGTGGGGATAAAATAAGAGATGACTCTCTCTCTCTCTCTCTCTCTCTCTCTCACACACACACACACACACACCCCTATGGTTTCAGAGGAGAGGCAAGATATAAATGTAGTAAGTACTAATAATTGCCTCCTATGTCTTTCCATTCTTGAATATCAGTTCTCCAGTAGATTAATTATAAAAGTATAGGCTTAGGCCTACTAGCTGAGCAGTATTCTGATTAGAATATGGTGGTATCTAAGTATGATAAAGGTGCTATTTTTGAAATAACGCCAACAGAGTCATACCTTACAAAGTTTTTCTTGGTAACTTCTGCTGCAGAAAATACAGTGATGCTTAAAAGTTTGTCAACCCTTTTGAATTTTCAATAGTTCTGCATAAATATGACCTAAAAATGTGATCTGTCTCCACACGAGTCCTAAAACTAGATAAAGAGAACCCAATTAAACCAGAGTCAAAAACATACTTTTTCATACTAGTATGAACAAATAAGGCTTTGTTTTTACAACAACAAAATACACAGCTTCTCTTTTGTGAATTACTGTATAATAACTTCCAATATATTAAAGATAAAATGTTATTTGATGGTTCATTATCCTAAAGGGAAAAGAATAAAAATCCCATGCCTCAGAATTACAGTTATACAATCAGTATTACAACTATTACTGCAACTATTCCATTAATAAAAGGCCCCTAGTGCAAGTTTTGTGAGATTAATCGATATACTACTAAAACTCTCACGTCTGTAACCTTCAACTGGGCGAAACAGTGCATCATTGGGCAACAATTTTTGAACTAAGGTACCTCAAATGGGCTAACTTACACAATGCATCCAAAATCCAGGACCCATTACTCCCATGGGATTGAAATCTCTGGCTGTTTCAGCACTGCAGCACTACAGTGCTGCCACAGTCAGCCCAGGTCATATGATTGTCATGGACATATCTCTGACCTCTTTCCTGCCTCCCTCTGTCCCCTGCACCCAATTGGCTGGCAGCAAGGCCCAAGAGACAATTGGCTACTTTGGAAACAAGGCAGAAATTTGAAATCTCTTAACACCAGTGGATGTTGAGGGAAGGATGAGGGAGCAACTTGGATTCCTGCTGGCAAGGTAGGTCTGGCTGGGTGGTGCCATGGTCGACAGGTGAGCGCTCTTCCTCCTTCAAGGAAGGGGGCCCTTGGGGACATGCCGGAATGGGGAGCGGGGGTGCAGTTTTCCTCATGGTCTGTGGCTCCCTTTCTTCCACCTCCCCCCCAGCAAAGTGTCAGGCAGTTCTGTGGGTCAGTTGAGGAGGAGGAGGAGGAGGCGGCGGCTTCACCAGGGATCTCATGAGGGGAGGGCAAACAGTGCATGCCTATGTTG